GCCAGCCATGCTTGCTGGGGGATTCTGGGAGTTGAAGTCCACTCATCTTAAAGTGGCCAAGTTTGGACAACACTGTCTTACTGAGAAACCCCAAGTCGATTGGAGTCGGGCGGGCCTCACTTGCATTGACTGACGGATTGATGATGTGCCATCAAGTCAGGGTCGAATCTTAGCGACCAGACAGATAGATTTTCTCCCGGACGAGCTGTCCCTAACCTGGTCTTTCAGGTCTTCCAACATTACGCCACTGTAACTGCTGCTGGTCGTCCTCTTCTCTTTCCTTCCACTTTTCCCAATGTTATAAACTTCTCAAGAGAGGTAGGTCTTCATGTTGATGGACTGATGATGTGCCATCAAGTCAGTGTCAGTTCTTAGCATCCACGCGGATTGATTTTCTCTGTGATAATTTATCCCCAACCTGGTCCTTCAGGTCTTCCAGTGGTACCTCCATTACCTCTGTAACTCAGTCTATCCATCTTGCTGCCGATCGTCATCTTCTATTTCCTTCCACGTTTCCCAGCATTACAGCCTTCTCCAGAGAATTGGGTCTTCGCATAACAATATTGCAGGACCCGGAAAGCACACCTACTCCATGGTGATGCCTGCCCTCTGGAATGATCCCCCCACCAAAGATGTGGGTGGCTTCCACCCTTATGTCATTCAGAAAACTACTGAAGACCTAGTTGGTCTCCCAGATCTTGGGACAGGGTGATTGTGGAGCCCCTGTCTTGTTTTGTTCTGTTCTGTTTTGTTTTGCTTTGATCTGATTTGTTTTTGATCTTGGGTGCTGCTTTTTTCTTTTTGTATTTTGCTCCTCTGGGTTGGCTGTATTTCTGTTAATATGCTGTTTTTTTTAGCTGTCAGTTGTAAGTCGTTTAGAAGTCAGACAATCTGTAAATAAGTAAATAAATAAGTCAGAGTCAGATGCCACCATCCTCTCCATTGACAGTGAGAGCTTAGCTATCATGCAGGCTGGAGCCCACTCCCCCGAAGGTAGAAGATTCTTCCCTAAGGGGAAGAAATCAACAGTTAGCTTCTTTTAGCACTGTTAAGTAGGTGGGTGTTGTGTAATAGCTCTAATGTGGATTGGGAGGGAGTAAAGTCTCCTTTCAGTCAAGCTTGACTTCTAATGACATCTATGGACTTTTGTGGCCTTTTTCTAAGTTGTTTTTTCAACTTCTTACTTCAGCCTGATCGGATGAGGGACCAATATTAACTGGGTCGGATCAATGCCAACTCTGTTTAGCTTTCTAGATCAGTCAGGATTGGCTGGGCACCATCACTTGTTTTGGGATGGATGGGGAGAACATAAGTTCAAATTCTACTTCGTTATAAAGTTCACAGTGGACAAAGTGTGTGCATAATTTTATTTCCCAAAGCCTAATTTACTAGGTATGGTGTTAAAATCTTACCTTTTTTTTTTTCTTGGAGTACAAACTTAATAATGCTATTCAAAATTAAATCACTTTCATGTGCTGCTACTTGCAGGAAAAAAAGGTTAATTCAAGTTTTGAAAGATACAATCAGTGTCTTTCAAACTTTTTTTTGTGCTGTTCTAGAAATTTCTTGGGAAATTATCGGGCATATTCATAACTGAAATGTGTATTTATACAGATACTGGGTAACTTTTAACTTTAATTGAGGGCAGGCATGGGCTGTATTGGTGGCTTTTGGTTATGTGTATGAACTCCCTGCCAACTTAGCTATTGGTGAGGATTCTGCGGTTCATAGTCTGCATTCTGGGAGGGTGGCAAAGATGAAAAAATCTTGGCTACAGTGAGATACTGCCTACTGGGAATCTGATAGGAAAGGTATATTACATTGGAAGTTGCATGATGGAAATATAGGAATTTTTAGGTGACAGACAAATAGGAATGATGTCCTGGAATGGTAGAAAACCTCCACTTTGTGAACATGTTTGGTAAGGAAGACAGTGGCTATTAGAACTTACAAAGCACTGTATAACATGGCTGTTCTAGATTGTTTTTCTCACTTTTTCAGAATTTAAGAAGCTGACCAAAATCCAGAACTTCAACAGTGGCACTGATTCCCTCTTTCTGACAAGAGAGATCCCTCCTGAGCATTGTGATGTGGTGATTGTTGGTGGTGGGATAATAGGCTGGTCCATTGCCTACTGGCTGAAAGCAAAAGAATCACGCAGAAATGCCTTTCGAGTATTGGTAGTTGAGAGAGACAATAGTGTGAGTTCTTATCTGAGCTCCCCTAAACAAAGCAAAAAAAAAAGAAAAGAAAGAAACCTGAGATTGAATATTATCTGACTTGCTGCAATATTCATTTCCTTTCCCTGGGTATTCAAGATTATTCTTAAAGGTTTAATGTTGGAGAGTAATGAGAGCAGCAGAATTTTGGTGGTTGCTGAAAAATCCCTGCAGGGTCAGCCAGCCTGGCCAGTGGGAAAGATTCTGGAAGTTGTAGCTTAGGTAAATCTGGAGGACCACAGGTTCTGTACTTTGGTTGTGAGTTCCAGAATTCATTTGTGAGGCCCTGGCATCAATGCTTAGTTTAACCGAGTGAGTGACTTGGGCCAGATATTATTTCTCAGCTTGTTATCTCAGTGTTATACAATTGGGAGAGGCTTTATGAGAAAAAGATAGGATAAAAATGTAATAAAGGAGTAAAGTACCACTTGATTAAATGGAATAAATAACCCATCAAATTGCAGAATAGCAACCTGTGTGAATTCAGTATTTTGTCCTACCAACGTATCCCTTGTCTTTTTGCTACTATTTGAATGACTGAAATACTTTGGAAGAGAAGATTTAACTATATCCATGCTACCTCTGTTGTTTTACTGCAGTATTCCAAAGCATCTACAGTCCTTTCTGTCGGAGGGATACGGCAGCAGTTTTCACTGGTAGAAAATATCTGGATGAGCTCTTTCTCGGCATACTTCTTGCGTTTAATCAATGTACGTCATGCTCCCTGGGTTTTTCAGCAATGCAGATGCTGAGGGACCTCCCTTTTGGTTCTGGTGTAACCATTTTGTTCTATTTGCCTCTGTCTCTCCACCCAGTCTTCCCACTGCATCCACTGGGGCGGTATGTAGGTAATCATAAGAGAGAAATGAGGGAAGGCATTAGGCAGTTCCTTGGATATCTAGAATAATCTGACTGAATCCTTGGAGAAAGAAATAAACGTTGCTTCCCGTTGGGTATATTGCTAAGAGCTAAGGTGTGGTTAGGTGTTATATCCAACTCTGTAAAAACGATTTGTAGAAGATTTCCTTGGCATCCAAGATTTTATGAGAGGCACCAAGGGATATGCAGGATCCCATTTGTGGTGGTTTTTAACCCCAACTGAGCTGTTACGGTGTACCCATTTTATATTGCAGTGCTTTCAAAAGGAAGAGTCATGTGGTTAGCCATGGCAAAAAAGGCTGTAAAATTAACCAGCATGGAGAGCATTTATTAAAAGCTGACTGGCAGAGGGTTTTTCATGACATCTGACTAGTACCCAGGAGTATAATAAGTATGTTTTCATGATTAGTGTCAGATATGGAATAGTTTGTCATCTGAACATGCTTATGCAATCATTTTAGCATTGACATGCATGCACTGGCTCCATTAGGTGTAATGCTTACCTCCTTGTTTCCAAAAGTATGTTAAATATTTAGATCATAACTCCATGATAAATAGTTTCAAGGTCAAAGTTACATATAGCTTTCTACTTTGGGTAGGAAGAGAATTCTCCTTTCCTCAGAATGCTTCCTACCTTCTCATGTATACAAAATGCTTCCTTTGTCCTTTTTCTTTCTTAAATCCTTCAACCATTATTTTGAGATACTCTAAGAGTTGGCATAACATAGTATCAGGGCTGCAATCTTTATTATACCTGCAAGCATTTCCATCAGATGTTTGCTAGCAATATTCATGGTTATCAAATGTGTGCTATGAACTTGTGAAGTAGCCTTAGATAAATCCCTGATTTCTCTTTATCTTATGGGGAACTCACCATGGGCTCTCTTGTATGAATTTGTAAGGATTCTGTCAATCATTGTGAAGCAATCTAGATTCTCCAGAAAAGAACTTTACAAGTATACTCTTATTTTTAAAAAATGTTTATGTAAAACAAAGATATTGTTTCAGAAGTGGTAATATCAGTAAGTAGATAAGAATTACTGAAGTTACACAATAAATGCTCAATATAGCCATAATAGATAAACCATACCAAAGTATACTGAGTTGTTTTTATGATATGAAAAAGAAGTATAAATCTTTGAGTTTAGTGCCAAAATCTCTACTATATTATTATTTATAAATAGTAAAACAAAAAAACAAGAAAAATAAAGAAACTCATTAAAAAATAGTATAGATAAGAATTTAATTTCTGGCTTCCCCCTTTGAGCTCCAACCGAAATACACAATTTTTAAACGTAAACTTTAGAAATCATACTTGAACTGTTTGTATTTGCCTTGCTGCATGATATATAGTATACATGGAAGGGCATGCTCTTATTAATTTTCATTCTATCCTTTTGTTTGTTTGTCCAGAATTATCTTGGTATTGTTGGGGAACCACCCATAGATATTCAGTTTAATCCTTCAGGTTATCTCTTTCTGGCTTCAGAGAAAGAAGCTGCTATTTTGGAGGAGAATGTGAACATTCAAAGGTATGGATTTTTTGAGATTCTGGTTGAATGGAGAAGGGTGCTGACATAGATAGGTCGTGGATAATTTGTTCTTTTTACCACATTTTACAGTAAAGACACAATTGTTCCCTTTTTTT